ACCCCCGCCGCCGCCGTCAAGCGCCGCCGACGCCGGCGCCGGCCCGAGGACAGGGAAAGAAAAACAAATAGGGGAAAGTGGGGTGGGGGGGGGGTCGAACCCCCCCCCGCCCCTCCGTCCATGGGGGAGGGGTCCGATTCCCCCGCCGTTTTCAAGCGACCACAAAACGCGCTCTTTTATGTAGATGTTGTTTTTTTTGGGGGGGGGGGACAACAGCGCGGGCGCATTTAGTGTTGAGAACTTATGTTGTGAAAACGTGAGTGCGGGTACCGATGCTGGCTTGCATGGGATGGTACGAAATCATAGTTAGGATGGGCGATGGGACAGAATCGCACGTAAATTGCAACACGAAAAAGGGGAGTCGTTAATTCAGGTGGGCGGCGGGGGGATAGATCTTATTATTCTTGTAGAGAGGAGATTCACTGTTGTGCAACGTATGCTGTGCTTTATGTAATTTATGTGGCACACAACGTGGATTTCGACCCATCCCGCCACCGTGCTTGGGTTGTGGGTCGTAGGCCTCTAAGGATGTTCGTTGGAATGTCGCGGGGGGGTCTCTCGGGGGCATTTTGGGGGCCGTTTGGAGGTTTCTTGGGAGCCGTTTTGGGGCCTCTTGGGGCTGCCTTGGGGCCAACATTTTGGCGCATCCTTGAGGCCTCTTTGGGGCAGGACTCGGATTTCCAGTTCGTGTTTGCCCCCTTGGGCCCTTCTTGGGGTTGCCTTTGGGCTCTCCTGGGCCGTCCTGGATTCTTCTGGGGCCGTCTTGGTGCCCTCTTGGGGGCCTCTTGGGCCGTCTTGGTGCTGTCTTGGAGGCCTTTCGGGCCGTTGGCCAGCGTTGGAAGCTCGAAAAGGCGAGTGGTCCCAAAACATGGAATGAATTGTGTGTTTTTGGCCTCTCTGAGCCCCCTTGGGACGGCTCTTGGAGGCCTCTTGGAACGTCTTGTGCGCGTTTCCGGCCGACGGGAGACCATCTTGGGCGTCTGGACAGATCGCGCGGCGATTCGGGGCCCTCTTGGACCGTCTTGGGACCCTCTTGGGCCAGCTGCGTTAGCATGGGGACTCCCCAGCAATCCCCGGTATCCCCAGGAATTCCCGGAAAATGCCTGGGAATCCTTGTGAAACCATTGGTCCGGGCCCTGAAAACCTTGAAACGAGCACTCCACTACGTGCTCAAGACACGGTTGCGGATACGTGGTGCGATCAGGGAGCGCGCCGCAGGCGCATTTTTTTTCGTGCAATCTATGTGCTGCAATCCAACGTCGCCGTCGGGCGGCGAAGACGCGGCGACAAGGCAGCGACGGGGTGGCGATGGCGAGTATATAGCCGCCATGCCGCCCGACCGGCCCAGGTCACGCGCGGCGACGAGGCGGCGACGGGGCGTCGACGGCGAGTACACACCCGCCAGACCACCGAACCAGCCCAGTGCCTCCGAAAAGTAAGAACTCCTGACTGTATGCACTGTTTGGGGAATGAGGTCTGCCTTTCACTGATCATCGATGCGTATCTCAAACTGTCCAGCTGTCCGAGGCAAGTCCCGCCGCTGTGCCGGCCCTCGAACAGGGGGGGCACGGGAGGCTGTCACGTGTAACTCCTCGTTGTTCCAAGGTAGCGAGAGCCATGATGGGGACGATAGGGACGATGGGGACGACGACGACGACGGACGACGATGGACGACGATGGACGACGATGACGATGATGATGATGATGATGATGATGATGATGATGATGATGATGATGATGATGCAGATAACGATGACGATGACCATGCTGGTGATGATGCTGCTGCTGATGATGATGCTGTTGATGATTATGATGATGCTGCTGCTGATGATGATGATGCTGTTATTGATGTTGATGATGATGATGATGATGATGATGATGATGATGATGATGATGATGATGATGATAATGGTGATGCTGATGATGGTGATGATGATGGTGAACATGATGCTGCTGATGATGATATTGATGCTCATTGTGGTGATGATGATGCTGATGATGTTGCTAATGATGCTGCTGCTGATGATGATGATGATGGTGGTGGTGGTGGTGATCATGATGATGCTGCTGCTGATGGAGATGATGATGCTGATGATGATGATGATGACGATGTTGATGCTGCTGCTGCTGATGATGATGATGATGATGATGATAATGCTGATGATGATGATGATGATGATGATTATGATGATGATGATGATGATGATGTTGTTGTTGTTGTTGATGCTGATGATGCTGATGATGCTGATGATGATGATGATGATGATGATGATGATGATGATCGATGGCGCAGTACAATACTGTAAGATATCAGGAGAACCAGCATGTTGTTGGGCTCTGGCGGGGAGCCGCAAGCGCGCGGTGCAGCCGCAACGGTTGCCCGATTGTCTGACACACCCTGTATGGCCTTCACCTCGCCGCTTGGATGTGACGGCCACCAGTGAACGGAGAGCGACTCCAGCCAGGCAGTACGACCCAAGGAGTGGACGAGGCACGGCGAATGCAGAGATGATGACCCACAGAGCGTCATCACTCAGCGAAGGATGGACCAGCGAGAGGACCACGTAGCAGCCAACCGTAACGAGGATATCACGAACACCACGCAGTATACCTCCACGAGCACCGGCACATTGTTGATGAAGAATGCTTCCGCGAATATTGTGCAAAGTATATCTCCAAGAGCACTGGCACGAAGAAGACATCCACGACATCCTCCAGAAAACGCCTCCGCGAGCACATTCGCGAGGACTTCTGCGAGCGCCCTCCGAAGAAGGCCTCCGCGAACGCGAGTGAATAAAACCTTCGCGAGCATCCTCCCGTTCAAAACCTCCACGAGGATGAAGAACATCTCCTCTGCGATGACGCTTCGAAGAAGCCCTTCGCGAGTACTAGCACCAATAAACCCTCCAACAGCACCCTCCTGGAAAAGGCCTCTGCGAGCATCTTCATAAATAAGACCTCCACGAACGCCCTCCGAAAAAGGGCCTTTACGAACGCCGGGGTGAAGCAGAACTCCGCGAGCACTAGCGCGAAGAGAGCCTCAACGAACACCTTCCCAGAGACGGCCCCCGCGAGCACCTGTATGGCGAAGACTTCCACGACCACCTTCCCAAAAGGCCCTTGTGAACCTGTGAGCACCAGCGTGGCGTACAAGGAAAATTGAAGGAACACAACATCAATCACCTCCACGAGCACCCTCGAGGAGAAGGCCTCCGCGATCGTCTTCATAAAGGAGACCGCCGTGGAAGCGCTTCACGATGACCCTGGCCAGGAACACCTCCAGGGAACGCTCCGCGCGGAAGAGCACGTCAAGGGAGCAAGGGCAGGTCGCCCTTAACACCATAATACCCAATCTACAGAATTATAATTCTGCTGGTAGCTAGAAGAATTCGCGCGACCGGGCGGTAAGGGACTACGAGGGTTCTCACGCAACGTTGCTGGGCCCGCGTTCAACGTTGCGTCGCCAGCGGCTTCAGGCGCCTGCCGTGCACCTGACCCACCTCGGCCCGACGTGAAGTTGGTCGTGTCCCTGACGACTGCGGCACCATCCTGCACAGCACGAAGTGGAGAGACCCCGCGTACGGCCGATGGCTAGCGAGACGCCACTCCAGCAGAGATGGCTTCTCCACCCGAAGGCATGACAACCAAACGTCTGATGCACCTCGTGGAAGAAATAGCAGAGACAGAGAAAATGACTATACTTAAACCACACTTTGGCCGTTGCACACTGCTGGCGGTACCTCGCGGTGGAAACTCATGATGATCGGAGGCGTATTGCACGAGTATAGGAGATAAGGAGAACCAGCACGTTGTTGGGCTTTGGCGGGGAGCCGCAACCGCGCGGTGCAGCCACAACGCTTGCCCGATGGTGCGACACACCCTGTTGTGTCTGCACCCCGCCGCGCGGGTGTGACGGCCACTGGTGACCAGAGAGCGGTTCCAGCTGGGCAGTACCTGCCCGAGGAGTGGATGAGGCACGGTGATTACAGAGATGAATATGATGATGACGATGATGACGACGATGATGACGATGATGATGGTGACGATCATGGTCATGATGGTGATGCTGCTGCTTCTGATGACGACGATGATGATGGTGATGACGCTGATGATGACGATGGTGATGATGATGATGGGGGCAGTTTTGGTGATGGTGCTGATGATGCTAATGGTGATGATGGTGATGGTGATGGCGGTGGCGATGATGAGGACAATCAATGATGATGGTTCAGGCATTGTGTGCCATGCGGTGAGTGCACCATCCTCGCGCGGGCACTCGTGGAATGGCGATTCAGGCATATGCGGCCATGCGGGAAATGCACCATTCTCCAGCGGGCACGCGTGGAATGAGGGATTCAGCATTCGCTGATTTATCTCAGGTGCACCATACCCGAGCGGGCACGACGGAACTGGCCTTGGACAAGGGGCGCTGCACGCAAGGCTCTTCGCCGAGAGGGGGGTGGGGTTCCCTTATTCGAACTCGAGAAACCCTACCAAACTGACCTTGGCAGTCTTCCATGTCTCAACGTGCCAGGGGGCACGGTGGCGGATCCAGCTGCAGGCGGCAAATTCGTCACCGTGGCGGCGAGTCACTTTGTGTGACGACCGTTCGGCGTAGAAGGCCGTCACACGTGGCACCTCGCGTCTCCGCTTGTTCAGGAATTCTCATCGGGCGTATTTGGGTTGTTTTGGGGTTATCTTGGGGGTCCCTTTGGGGCCTCTTTGGGGTCAGTCTTGGGGCCTTGGGGGGTCACTCTGTAGCTATATGGGCGGGCAGTCTTGGGGGCCCCTTTGGGCCCTCTTTGTCCGTCCTGAGCCCTCTTGGCCAGCCCTGGGGCCCCATCGGGCCGTCTTGGGGTCTCCTGGTCGTCTGTGGGTGGGACATTCTGGGGCCGTCTCGGGGGGCCCTCTTTAGGCGTCTTGGGTCTCTCTCGAGGCCCTCTTGAGCCGGTGTCGTCCGAAGTCTTCATGGAGTTCTCGGTGGACCGATGGTCGGCTCAAGAGCGTGGACAGCGACAAGTCATGAACACACTAACAGAGCTACATGATTTTTGGCTCCTTGAGGGCCTCCTGGAGAGAGTCTTGGGGATATGTTGGGGCCTGTTAGAGTCTTGGGGATCTGTCTCAAGCCTCTAAACCCCTATTCTCATACTCCCTCTTACCCGGCCGCTGCCGCCATGGCGTGCCAGTCGATGAAGGGCGACATCTTGAAAGCGCCCAGCGAGATCACGAACCGGATGCAGGACAGCTACGAGTGCGATGAGGCGCAGAGCAAGTGCGGCGTGCTGACGCTGCAGTACCGTATCGAGTACGGTCTTGTGACGAACTGGGACGACATGGAGAAGCTCTGGCACCACACGGTCTGCAACGAGCTCCGCGTGGCCCCAGAGGAGCACCCAGTGCCCCTCACCGAGGCGCCCCTGAACCTCAAGCCAACTCGCGAGCGTACGACCCAGCTCATGCTCGAGACCTTAACCGGGCCGACGATTTACGCGGCGTTCCAGGCGGCGCCCATTCTGCACGCCTCCGGCTGCACAGCCAGCATTGTCAGGGACTCCGGTGATGATGTGACGCACGCGGTGCCCATCTACGAGGGCCACGCCTTGCCGCGCGCCATCCTGCGCCGCGACCTGGCCGGCCGCAACCTCACGGACTACTTGGTACGATTCCTCACTGAGTGCGGCTCCTCCTTCACGATTACAGCTGAGCGCGAGGTCGAGCGCGACGTCAAGGAAAAGCTCTGCTCCGGCCCCCTCGACGTCGACGCTGAGATGAAGACTGTCGCAGAGAGGTCTGACAAGGAGAAGACGTACGAGCCTCGGGTCGGCAGCATCATCACCGTGTACAACGTGCTCTTCCGCTATCCCGAGCTGCTCTTCCGGCCCAGCTCCGTCGGCAGAGAGGCCAGCGGAGTCCACGATGCCGTCCTCCAGGACAGTATCTTTGAATTCTTTACGCTTCGCGTATCCCCACCAGCCCATCTCAAACCAGCAACTCTTGCGAACCATGCCGACAGTCGTGTTTTTCAGGCGTGTTTCCGCCTTCCCCCGCATATCTCCCCTGTTCCTCCTTCCTCCCGCCTCCTTGTACATCCTCCTTGTGGTGGGAGCGGGAGAAGGACGAGGCGGAGGAGGAGGGAGAGAAAGCGCTCCTCGTGGTTTGAGTCGTTTGGGGTTTCTTGTCCTGGTGTGAGTCGTTCGGGCCCTTCTTCCTGGTGTGAGTCGTTCGGGCTCTTCGTGATGTGAGTCGTTCGGGCTCTTCGTCCTGGTGTGAGTCGTTCGGGCTTCTCGTGGTGTGAGTTGTTCGGGCCCCTCGTCCTGGTGTGAGTCGTTCGGGCCCCTCCTCCTGGTGTGACTCGTTCGGGCTCCTCGTGGTGTGAGTCGTTCGGGGCCCTTCGTCGTGGTGTGAGTCGTTCGGGCTCCTCGTGGTGTGAGTCGTTCGGGCGCCTCGTCCTGGTGTGAGTCGTTCGGGCCCCTCCTTCTGGTGTGAGTCGTTCGGGCTCTTCGTGGTGTGAGTCGTTCGGGCCCCTCGTCCTGGTGTGAGTCGTTCGGGCTCCTCGTGGCGTGAGGCGTTCGGGCACCTCGTCCTGGTGCAAGTCGTTCGGGCCCCTCGTAGTAGGTAGTAGTAGTAGTAGTAGTAGTAGTAGTAGTAGTAGTAGTAGTAGTAGTAGTAGTAGTAGTAGTAGTAGTAGTAGTAGTAGTAGTAGTAGTAGTAGTAGTAGTAGTAGTAGTAGTAGTAGTAGTAGTAGTAGTAGTAGTAGTAGTAGTAGTAGTAGTAGTAGTAGTAGTAGTAGTAGTAGTAGTAGTAGTAGTAGTAGTAGTAGTAGTAGTAGTAGTAGTAGTAGTAGTAGTAGTAGTAGTAGTAGTAGTAGTAGTAGTAGTAGTAGTAGTAGTAGTAGTAGTAGTAGTAGTAGTAGTAGTAGTAGTAGTAGTAGTAGTAGTAGTAGTAGTAGTAGTAGTAGTAGTAGTCGTATCCAAGGCAGTTTGGAGGCCCCTTGGAAATCGTAGAGAGGGGGTTCTTGGGCTCTCTTTTGAGCCTCTTGGGAGCGTCCAGGGGCCCTCTTGGGCGCCTCTTGGAGCGTCTTGGCCCCCGTCGGGGCCACGATCCTCATGAGGGGTGTCGAATTCTTTACGCTTCGCGTATCACCACCAGCCCATCTCACAGCAGCACCTCTTGCGAAACATGTTTTCGTACAGTCAATGTTTGTTTCGTGAAGGCAGAGAAGCGCTGTTCCCTCCGAGCGCCGAGATGGGGCCGAAACATAGAATATATTATATCGGCCACGTGTTGTTGTGATGCATATTGCACTCCTCCCCCAAGTGGCCCCATAGAGTAGATTAATTTGGCCACTTGTTGTTATGATGCATGTTTCGCTCCTTGCCCCATTGGCCCCGCCCTCGTTGTAGCAGCGTTGTGGCGGCTATCGCTCGAGGACATGCAGGCGCGCCAGAGATAATGCGAGTGTTCGCGTCTGTGTGCGTTGCAGATATGTGAGTCGTTCCAGCTCTTCGTGGTATGAGTCGTTGGGGCCCCTCGTCCTTCCTTGTGTAACTCCTTCGGGCCCCTCATTGTGTGTACGTCGTTCGGGCTCCTCGTGGTGTGAGTCCCCTCCTTGTGTGTGAGTCGTTCGGTCCCCTCCTCCTGGTGTAAATCGCTCGGGCTCCTCGTGGTGTGAGTCGTTCGGGGCCCGCGTCGTGGTGTGAGTCGTTCGGGCTCCTCATGGTGTGAGTCGTTCGGGCGCCTCGTCTTGGTGTGAGGCGTTCGGGCCCTTCCTTGTGGTGTGACTCGTTCGGGCTCCTCGTGGTGTGAGTCGTTGGGGTCTGTCGTCCTGGTGTGAGTCGTTCGGGCTCCTCGTTGGGCCTGTTGGGGGCCTCTTGGAGCTCTTGGGGCGTCTGGGGGGCCTCTTGGGGGCCCCTTGGGGGCGTCTTGGGGGCCTCTTGGAGCCTCTTGGGGCCTCCTGGGTGCCTCTTGGGAGCCTCGAGGGGGCCTCTAGGGGCCTCTGGGGGGCCTCTTGGGGGCCTCCTGGAGGCCTCTTGGGAGCCTCCTGGGGGCCACTTGGGGCTATATTGGGGTCTCTTGCGACCTCCTCAGAAACGCTAGTAAGCGCTGGCCCCTGAGAAGGACAACGTCAGCCCAAAACTTTCGTAAAATCAATGATTTTGCTAAGGATGAAGAGGAACGCTGCCCCCTCAAAAAGGCCAGAATGGGGCCAGTACCGTAGTAAAATCACTGTTTTTTTACTTCAACGACGAGTTCAGGCGCCAAACTCACTCCCCCCCCCTCGGGGCCAGAATCCTCGTGAGGGTCGTCGTTATTTTTGGCCCTCACAGGAGTCGAAAAAGACCACTCCAACCACCCGCGGGGCCCCCTCTCCAGGTCCAGGGGGAGGGGGTAGGGGGAGGGGTAAACCCCTCCCCGAAGGGGAAAAAGGGG